TCAAGAAATTATTTCTCAAATTTTTCATACATTAATTACATAGTTAGCCTGAAGAGTGAATTTGTATTTGATCATATCGGTAGTCGTGTTTATAATATATTTTGATTGCATCAAGTAGCCCCGATGGCTACTATATTTGTTCGATATACATTCTTACGTGGTAGACATCCGGATTCTTTGGAATTACATCCTGAGAATGAGCAACAACATCTGCAAACAAGATTTTTCAACAATCTGACTCTTCCACATTGATTGTCATTTTTGTTCTAGATTTCCAATATATCTATGTGAGTGTTTTGAAACGAACATTTCTAATGTATTTATCATACGGTGAACTTACCAGTTGCTGCGAAAACCAAACATTTATCGTTTGATATGTGACTGCAGTGAGCATGATAGAAACATCGTAAAACTTAGATATGCTTTCAAATATGGATGGATTAAACTCTTTTTGATCCAGATGGTACTACAGAACTACATGTCTTTTCATATTATTTACTTCCTACTTCAGATGTGGGTGACAGTGATAGCACGTTTGCACCCACGTACATTTGCACCCGTATATGAGCACTAATAAACTGTACCCAGGACGTTTGAACACCATACCATTGCATACGCAGATTTTAGCACCCGCGCAGTTTTAAACCGTAGAACTTTGTCCCAATGGATGTTTGCGTCCATGGGTATTTGCCCCTGTAGAATTTGCAACCGTCTACATTGGCGCCCTTGAAATCTACACTCATAGGTACATTGGCAGCCATGGCCGTTTGTACCCATAAACAGTTGCACTTACTGAGATTTACACCATGAACATTTGCATCATAAACATTTGCACTCACGGACATATGCATCCATGAACATTAGTATCCATGGACATTTGCAACCTGTTTGTAGCAATGTCGTCTATGGATGCAAATCTACGTGTTAGCAAATGCGCGTGGCTACAAAGATAATGGATCCGCGTGGAAGCATGCTTGATCGGGATAGTATTAGTGTGATGAGTTAAATAATATATAATAATCTCTAATTCCTGGAAAGAGGTAATGATATTCTTGTTTCTAAGAGCAAATTAACAATACAGTATTGAATATTAACATAAACACGATACCTGTTTGACTTCTGTTATGCAAGCTCGTTCTTGTTTACATCCCTTTATAATAAGTGGTTTACCTCTCACAGTTCGATAATCGTTTTGACAGACCTGTGAAAATAAAATCGCTGTGGTAATCAAATATTTGTTCGACTATTTCTTTTACTATAGGCAACATTTTTATACTGGTTTGAACACTTGTGTCTTGGACTAGATATCTGGAACTTTACTATTTAAAACCTAATCCACGTATATTTAAATATTTGATATCAAATACTATCCAGGATTTAGATTTTTTCAATTGGTATACCTTTGCTTCATACAATGAAATGCCTTACATGGTCTGGTTGGGAGCATTCCAACATTTTCCCGTACTGTGCATGACATTCCTTTAAACTGTTTTTTCCATCGCATGTCCAGCATTTGATACCTGGGTATTGCGTAAAAAAAATTATTGCTCAACCAGTCAACTCCAGGTATGGTTTAATTTATCATATATATATAAAGTTCGTCATACAACAATCATGATTACATGCATGAATTAGCAATGGCCAGCAACCGTCATTGATGGCTTTGTCGGGGACTGTCAATACTGCACTAAACTGAAACGATGCTTTTTATAAAAATTCGCATTTAAGCCGACACTACAAATGAATGGGCATGAAATGTTCAAAAGTTATCTCAATCAAGATATTTCTAGACGATTCTAGTGTTAAATCAATGTTGTAATGAAGAATATAAAGCCAAATATTAGTTACCCAAGCTGTGGCTCAGAGAATTAATAAAAACGGATGAAAAAAGTTCTCACCTTGAACCAAGCTGACATTTAAATAGACGACCAGCAAGCTGACGAAAACTGACAGAAAAATATTCATGCCGACTCTAATGTTTTTGAAAATTTGATGCTGAACACACTAAACCGTTGGAATGAGGTTTGAAAAACTATGAATCTTAGGTTCCGAGATTTACGTAGCCATTATTATCGGGTGTTTAGTCTGAAAATGCAGTTAGATAAGATTGCTTTCAATAAATATTTCAGTAACTCAGATCATCAATTCGTCCTATTTGCTAACTTGGTTACTTGCGCAATTTCTGCATATTTTCTGACGACGGTATGTATATCAATTACTCGTTGCCTCAATCTTTCTTTATCGCTTCGTCAAACCTAAATTTAGAAACTGGTTTTTTAGAGTGATTACGTAACTTATAACGTTTTATATCTTTATTTAATCACCAATAATTTTAGTTGTTTAGTAGCCGCAGTGAGTAATCTCAACATCTGATTTTTCGTACAGCAACAAAGTTCGTTGACTTTTATCTTATTATTTGTTCTCGCACACTGTTTTTGTCATATTATCTAACTATTTTGTTATATTTTCTAACAATTGCCAGCCACTACAAATATTTAGAAAAAGTTTAAACCTTAAATTAAATTATCATGTACTTGAAAAATTCCAAGTCCCTGGCCAAAAAGTCTAGTCTAGACGGGCCAACTATTCTGGCTGTCTTCTAACATATAACTAGTGATATTTGATCATGACAATCGCATTCAGAGATCAATTTGATAATCGATATGATGTCTGACCTTTTGGCTACATCAGCTGGAAAACATTCAACGTCGGTTTGAGGAGTACGGAGATGAAATATCTAACTATATAATTTATCATAGAGTTGGAGTAATATCTTATGCAGAGACTGAATAGCAGTTCGCTACAAATGCGATCCACTTCTTGCAACTGGAAAGTAACTCGATCCCACTAGTAAACTTTTCAACTTTACTTTTTAATGAAACTTTCGTGACCGTGTTCACTATTGGTTTTTCCAATTATATTTATATTGTGAATAATCTGCCTATTAATTATATCATGCTAGACAGCAGACTTGAAAAGGGCCTCTAACACACAACTACCCTGGTGTAATTAGAGCAAAACTATATGTAGCTGAATTCACTGATAGTAGATAATTACGAAATGATCAAGTTTATCAATTCTGCTTTTGCTATTTCTGCCTGTTACCACGTCGATGATTCTGCATCTGTGTTTCTTATTGTATGTGACTATTGAAGCGTTTTGGGCATACCAGAAACACCTGTGGTGACGCGGTATAAATTAATCGCAGGATGCGGCTTAAAACTTATTCGAATTGTGATTTTATCACAAGATGTACTGCTTTGAAGACATTTTCTCATTTTATCCATATTTCAATCGTTGCGAAATATTCAAAATTATCATAATGCTATTTTTGTAGCAAATATGAAATCGGACGTATAAAATGCACAAAATACGGAAGCAGTATAATAATTGTGTCGATGACTCATGGCATCGAGTAATGAAAATAATGTCAGTTTTAGTATTGAACTATCGGTGCTTTGGATCGGCTTTTCTAAATGTCAAGAATTTCATAGAGAACAAACTTGTTAGATCGAAGAAGCTTATCTTGTAGTGTTATATTATATTATATATATATATATATATATGTGTCCATAATTGTCTCGTAATAGTCATTCTACTTCTAATGATGTTTTTCAAATGATTTTAATCAACTTTAACTTATTTTTATGGGATTTTGTGGGATCACATTGAGATTGATCCAATAGCCTGCATCAAATTACATCTCTATATCCAAGTCTGGCTTAGGTGTGGTACATGTGAAGTGAAGTGCAACCCAATATGAAATGCGACCGACATCTTACCGATTATGCCCATAATCGCATATGGTGGATTGTGTGGGATGATGCGTTTGAGAATATAAATTGTTTCTACTAATTTTATTGCCACTATCTTGTTCAGGCTTCAACTGAATATTAAATTTTTAATACTAAACATATATTTATTATCAACGTTTATTATTTGTTTTAAACGTTATACATAAATTTATTGAGGTTTTATTCTAACAAGGTAGAAGACGAAGAAAAGAACATTCAAACAAAAAAATTGCATAAATATTCTACTCAAAAACTGACAGTATCACTAGTGTCAACTCTTCATCGGAAAGTCTATCGATCAAATTAACGCTTATCAAATAGTACAGAAACAATATTTCTTAAAATAAATTGATGAGAAATTATAATTGTAAATGAATTAAGTGAGCATGAAATCTAATTATTTAATAAATGTTTTTGCTGATTTATGAAAATCCATCACGATGTTAGAGTATTCGAATGTTAAGGTTGCAGTCGGACTTCAGTTTTTTTTCCGTCCCGAAGGCAATAGTTGTTATGGTGATAGTCTCAGACCCGTTCCCGTGAGGTAGAGTCAAGGACAGGACTGAGATTTGCTGGCAGTGGTACACCCAGTTGTTCTAGAAATCTCAAATATTTTAGCCGGTATGGATGCCATGTCCTGAAATTTTGCAGCAGTAAAGACGTTCTTTCCATTCCAGCCATTTGTATAAGTTCTTCTTCCGCCACTTTGTCAAGTTTCACACCGGTTGCCAGAATCTTATGATAGAAAAATTTTTGTGTACTTAAACATAAACAGGAAAGACTGCGCGCTGCAAATTCATAATTTTTAGGCGACGCTGTCAAAGTTTATAGTTCGAAGATATATTGTTTACTTTATCCCTTTTGTGTTGGTATTTCAACAATTCAGCTGGCTAAGAAATTGGAATGACAATGAAAAGTAATTCTTTCTGAGTTACTCACACACAAACAACCTTGTTCAGTGTTCAGGTTGGAAACATCGTATAATGAAATATACTTGAATTCATTGCATGAAAAAATGATCGTTTCAGTACAAAAATTTTGTTCACGCATTCAGCTAAAATCACCAATTCATACCTATATAATTCTTTTATGAGCTATTGATTCAACGGATGCAAAAATATATAATTTTACGGATTCTGCGCAAGTCATCAGTTATTTTGTCTGATTGAAGGTAGTAATATTTACCACACAGCGAAAACTTCTAGTATGGTCATGCGCGGCATTTTGATGTGGCACAAAGCGCATACGAATCGCTATGACGGGTTTAGCTAGTTTGATTGGAATCTTTAAACAAATACCCTCTGGCGGTTTTTATGTACGCAACGTTTTTTATCGATGAAGTAACCTGTCGAACGTACAGGTTCAACAGGCTCTCGTTCGAATTCGCATAATTTATTCCATGGTGATGCGTTATCGTTAGGTTATTCAGTTCATATTTTTTCACTTTAATAATAGTAGTCTTGTATATTGAATCATGAATATAAAAAATATCCGTTTTTACTGTGTCGATTAAAGTTCTATACTGGTTTAGCCACTGCTATAATAAAAAATAATGTCTTTTGGTATAGTAATCGAGTCGGTATTACTTTATCTAACATTAGATAATTGCAAGCTAGGCAAGAGAGTGAAAAAGAAATCTCAACGATACTCAAATAGTATTTCCATCCAATTTATTACAAAAAGCCTGTAATATAAAATTTCAGTTGAAGATAAAATGTGTAAAATGAGCCTTTCCACTAAAAGTGTGAGAGTAAATATCTACTACTCACGTTGACACCTCTGTCGCGAAGTTGCCTAGATGCATCACGAACGTCATCTCTCGATCTTCCTGATGTCGCAAGAACAACGAAATGCTCTCTTCTTCTATCAATTCTCTCGTAGATGACGTCGTTTACAAAGTCAAGTGCTCGCCCAGTGTTGGCCACTACAATATGAATATTGTATGTATATGTTATACAATATCACCCCCGATACAGATTCCATAGCATGTGCCTTACTTAATTTTACAAATCAAATACAATTGACGGATTTTTATTAATTCACATTAATTTTTTTTAAATTGTGGCTCTAACCGTTCGCACATTTCATAAACATATGCAACATATCAACTTGTTTAACCAATGTAACCAAACCCTTGGCGGTAACATATTCATACGTTTGAATCTGTGTCACTGAAAAATTAGTATTAACTGCTAATCTATTGGGACTCTTACTGTAATGATACTTGCTGGGCCTCATTCGTAATTTTATAGTACTTGTAGTAAGATTCAGCTAAAACATTCCTAATTGCTATACCGATTGATGATAGTCTTTTTTGAATGGCTTGTGATTAAATTGGACATGAGCGCTTGGAATTCGGTATTGCGTTACACTCATATTTGGCTATTCGAATTTTACCCGTAGTTGATAGTTCGAATATTGTATGCAAAGTTGATCAGAGAAACGATTGTATTCACACACTACTACCGTTGGGAAAGCGCATAATATTTCAAACTATTACCATGTCCACCAAAATGCATGTTCTCTAATTCTGACACCAATTCGTCCAATTCATTTGGATATCGAAGTCGACGCATCGGTATCAATGTTTCTTCATCTATATCATCAGAATAAGTCAAGGCAGCAAAATCCGATGTCTAGTCGAAATCTAAGCATCGGAGCCAGATACGATCCGCGTGAAGTCAACGATGTATTGCCAATCGTCACGTGTTTGAAAACGCGGTGGTATCAAATACCGCTGTGATTTTCAAGCGCCTAGAAAGAAATGTAAAGAATGTACGTTGTAAAAAATAGAACTTGTAGGACTTAATTATGGCAACGTTTCATGACGCAAATAGATTCGAATAAACACAGTACACCAAAAATACTATAAACATATAACCTTAGAAATCAGTGTTAACTATAACAATAGTTTTCATAAGTGATGCATTAGAGAAAAACATTTTAACGTTGCTTTGCGCGTTACTTTCAATTATTGTTTCACAGTTTCTATACATGGTCGGAGGAAGGTGTACAGCCGCGCTAGCCTACCTGTTAAACAAACATCGTACGCAGCAGTAATACTGTCGTCTGCTCCAGTTTATTGTATCGAGACATTCAGTTTCTTCGTATCGTTTGGCTGTATAACGATCAATACATTTAAGATTGCACACAGAGCCGATTTTCGTTCCATCGGTACAGTTGATCTTGCCGTGTAAAACTGTTCCAAACTCATCACAATGGCTGCGTTTACACTCCGGAATAATCTCGCTCCACCTACCGTATTGATCATTGTCTTCGTCAGCTTCGCACACCAGAGGTCGTTCTTGAGTCAATGCATGCTTTTCTTGACAAGAGAATGTACATTTCGAACCAAAGTCGTTTCCATTTGTGCAAAGTGGAGGGTATCCATTGTCAGGTGGTAACAATTTTGGTTGACATGTTTTTTTAAGACACCTAGGTTCTTTTTTTGTCCATTTTTTCTCGATATTACACTTACTTATCGTTTCCCCACTCATTACTGGTTCATCGCCTACGTTGGGAACCATGTAGTATGCATCACTTATGCATCGGTATGTGCACACTGTGCCCACTCTGTATTCTGAAACCTTGTATCCTTTTGGAGGCGCACAATCTTCAACAACAGTGCTTTTGTCATATTTCGTGACAGTACATTGCCCGAGTCTACATGTCGGCGTCGGGTCAGTCCATTCACCAATTGCATCACCATCTTGTTTAGAATCTTGGCAAGACATGTACGATTTGCCAAGTAAGTCGTATCCATCTTCGCACATGAATACACAAAATGTGCCGCGCATGAAGTCGAAGGTAGAGCAAATTCGAAAGCCATTATCAGGGAAAGGTTGCGGGGGGCATTTTATTGAAGTGCATTCCGGTTGTTTATTCTTCGTCCATTTTCCTATCGATGTTCCGTCTACTGGTGGTTGACAAGTGGATGTTTGAGTTCTTTCAATGCCTCCATCGAGGTCGTAATCTTCCGCGCACATAAAAGTACATACGCTATTTTTAGCATTGCCGTTAGTGCAGCTTAATTTCTGGGTTCTGGTCTCCTTGAACTCTGGTTGACACGTGATAGGACTGCATTCGGCCGCTGGACGTGACCATTTTCCGATATTGTCTCCATTTTCGTCATTCTGACACGTTGATTCCATTGTTGGTTGAGTTGTATCATCCAAGTCGTTTTGTGAATTGCAAGAAAAAGTACAAACACTGCCGAATCTATTGCGATTTGTGCAAACCACTTGACCACCAACCGGATCAACGAATGCGGGTTCGCATTTTATCTCCGAACATGTAGGGGCATCTGCACTCCACTTTCCAAACGCATCGCCGTTTCCGTCATCTTCACAAACCGAACTAACAGACGTTCGGTTTGTTTTATCCAAATCATAACCTTCGTTGCACGTATAGGTGCACACGCTTCCTTTGAAGTTTTCTTTTGTGCAGGATACCTTACCATAAGCGGGATTTGTAAGAACTGGATTACAAATTACTTCAGCACATCGAGGAAATGTTCTGGACCATTGTCCCTGAGCTGAGCGACCCGACTGAAGGCATTCTGAACGTTTGCTTCCTATCAAATTGAACCCTTCCTTACAGCTAAATGTACACGTGCTACCGAAATTGTAGTTGTCTGTACAAGTTTCTATTCTGTTTGGATCGTTTTCCATGTTTTCACACTGCCCCATCTCACATCTAGGTTCCGGGTTATTCCACCTACCGCTGTTAGCACATACAGAGTTTGCTTTACCTTTAAGATAGTAATTCGCTTTGCACTGATATGAGCATTTAGATCCTTCATAGTTGAGGTCACTTTCTTTGGCAAATTCTAATGCGTTTTTGCATTGTATGAAGCCATTTGTTGGGGCAACTCTTGGCGGATCACAGCGTACAATGACCTTTTCACACACTGGCAACTTTTCAGGGTTCCAACGGCCTTTTTTACTTCCCTTTGACAATCTTAAGCACCTTGCCTTGTTTTTGCCTTTCATTTCGTAGCCCTGATGACATCTGAAGAAACATTGTGATCCGAAATCGATGTCTACTGGGCACCTGGTTTGGCCGTTCTTTAATTGTGGTATTCTCTTGCATGGTGCTGGAGCTGTGATATAATGCGTTGTTTTTTATTTGCAATTTGCTACTTCATGGTAGTCTACAATGGCAAGTAATAATATAATATAATTGGGCATATTGCTAATTTGGAAGAATATCACGCGGGATTTTTTGTACGATGTGAATCATATCATTTTCCAGTCAGAGTATTCCAACTGGAAAAAAGTTGGAATTACCTTCGACGAAGAGTATTTAGTGTACAGTCAATTGAATGAAATATTTACGTGGCAAACATCCAGATTCTTTAGAATTACAGCCAGAAAATGAGCAACAACATCTGCAGACCATGTTTTTAATTAATCTTTTTCTTCCACATTGATTCTTATCCTTGTTCTGAAATTAAAGAAAATTATATTTACATATGGTCATAAGTGAAAGCAATTTACTCGTGGACCATGTAGTCCGTGTATTTATCGCAGAATTAGTATGTTTTTAATTTCAATGTTATGAAAAGAAGTATAATTCTATACGGCAGGATTGTTCCGGATTATCCCAATCCGTCAACGCAAACCAGGTGCACTCATCCTACTAATTCAGCTAAAATTGGTTGATTCTTATTCGACAAACTCATTTCTATGCATATATGTCAGGTTTTCAGGTCACGTTTGTTGGAGTGTGTTTAACATTGTGTATTTCTGAGTAATTTAATTGATATTGTACTTTATTTGACCTCACTTCGTTTTTGCCCGTAATAGTTTCAAATTAGTTAGAAGTGTAGGCCGCTGTGATCAATAATAATGACACGTTTGCACGATAATTTTTATAGCCATTATTTACGCGCGGGATGCTTTATACATTTAAAACAGGAATGCAAATTATGCAACAATCATATTTTGCTTAGCTGAAACTTTGTTTAGTTTGGAGCCTCGGTTTTCAGCTCCAAGACCGATTTACTATTAATTGATGCAATCACAATATTTTGTCAATACAAATTAAAAATATATATATACTGAGCTTGATTTGCATTTTTTTTTAAACTATTTGAGGAAAAATATTTACACCTATTACCACTACCATTTTGTTCACATCAAGCTCAAAGACCTCCGTCATTTAAAATCGGAAAAATCTTTCTTTAAAAAAGAAATACAATGAAGTAATAATTCGGACGGCATCGCGCTATTATTTTATCCAAATAATGTATTGATATAAAGATTAGGAAGATTTTTCCATCGCTCCGACGAATAATATGTTAATTTTCCCAGGTAAATTTTCGTTGATAAATTGACTTTTATCAATATTGATAAATCGTGTAATATGCTCAAACATATGCGACTTCCAAGTTACCATAAACTATTCGTAAAAAGCTAATGAAAAATCAATGTGAATAGTATGTTAATATTATTGGAGATATCAATAACGTAAAAATCCAGTCGTTGGACTATTGTTGCATTGATACAAATCAATAAAAGTTGTGTCATAATATCAAAGAAAAAAAGGACTGTCACGAAGATCATTTACTTTCGACGTTCGAGGTACAAAGTCACACTAAAATGTCACCCGTCTTTTGGCACATAAAATTTTTTCCTTCGGGTTTCGTGCAAATTATAAACGAACATGACCTATTGATTTTAGAAATGGATACCAGTCTGTCTATTTGAAACAGTTTTCTGTTATTGTAAGACGAACTTGGTTACAGATATGCGCATTTAAAATACGTATCATCGTCCATAGTATATATAATGTGATATGCATAACACAAACATAAGGGATAAATACATGCCCATATATATATATTAAGGTATTATCCAAGCTTTATTCCGCAACATCTGCAATAAATTCTATGTTTTGTTGGAGGTAGCAGTTCACGACACAATTCGCCTCAAATTTTCAATTGATTTTCTTTCCACTGACCTCGGGTATTACGTCTTTGACCCAGATAATTGATTGAGCAACAAATTAAATTTTATCAAAAACTTTCTAGTCACCTGTTTGACTTCCGTTTCGCATGCTTTGGCTTGTTTACATCCTTTTGTAATGAGAGGTTTACCCTGTGCAGTCCTGTAGTCATTTTGGCATACCTGTTTAAAAAGACTTAATATGGAGAATTTGTATATTGTAGCCGAGTAAGGGAATACTATTTTAATAGGACTGACTAAAAATAATTAATTTGAAGAAATAATTTTTGATTGGATGAAAACGTCTTGTATGCCAGTTACCTATTCTATTTCGATCAGGAAGTTGGTCAAGTTTTTGTGTAAATCACATAGTATCATATCTCTAATTTCTGCTTTGGGTCAGGATTAAATGACGATATATCTCATAATCGAAGAAAAAATAACAGAAGAAAGACATTGACAGTTTCTTTCTAAAATTCTTAGTATTGCATTTGAAATTGTCATCAGGACCGCTATAAGTAAAATACATCTTTTTAAGTAACTTTCAATAGAACTTACATCGTCAGCGTTTGGACATTCAAGCATCTTTCCGTATTGTGCATGGCATGCTTTCAGAGTCCTTTTCCCATCACAAACCCAACATTTTATACCTAGAAAAGCAAAACGTTCGCATAAGTCGAAATTGAAGCATACGTTGTTAGAAGTCTCTTAACAACACGAGCAGGCGCGCGGCCAGGATTTTCAAAAAAGGGGTTTAAAAATCGGAAATTTTCAGTGCCGTCTGTAACAGTTTCCACGATCACGCGCTCGTTAATAGAGCCGCCTTTTCAGCTTGAAATGCATTTTCTGTTGCGTAAAATATTCAATTCATGACAACTACAAGATTCTAAAATGTCCTTTTAATTTAATTGTGTCCGACGTAACTCGCGGTTGCGACTTCTTACGTCAAAATAAAAACATCACTGCAGTAAAGTACCACGGCGATCTGTGGACATAAAAATATGAAATAAGCTGCTTGATGTATTTAATTTTGATGCGTATTTTTGCAATCTTGCGAACTCGGTATCGCCGTTAGTAAAACCTCGATATCTGATATAAGAACACCTGCAAATTAATCCATCCATGACCAATACGGGCATATTTAGAATGTCTCGCTTTATTAATTTACCTGTCTTCAATTTAACCTTGGGTCGACAAAACAAGAGCCACTCTAAAATAACACGGCAATCCGCGGACATGAAAATAAAAATGTGTGGCGAACTGCCCGATTATATTATTGTTTTGATACGTATTTTTTATTTTGCGAATTCGACAAATTTGAGATGTGCTTGTAACACTGGCTGCGTTCAATCGCAATGCTGCCACTCCGATTAATTTTGAAAATAAAACCTTTCGAAAAATCCGTAAATCTGTTGTAAATTCTCATGGAGTAAAATTTATTTCAGTACAATAAAAATTGATCGTTTTACTTCAGATTAATTATCTTATATATCATCCCACATCGAGAAAAAAATCGCGTTTCCAACCTTGTTCAATGATAACACAAAAATTTTCGACAGACAATTTTAAAGTAATGGATAAAAAGGTAAACCCCGCCCACAATTTAACCGTGTTTTCATTTTAGTGAAGGTATGTTTCTAAACGGCGACCAAACGTAATTTTACAATTTTCAATGCCTAGAAACGCGATTTTAGACTGTCGCGGCACTCAACACAAATTATATTGTTATATGCGGTTTTATTTTCAGTATTTTATATTGCCGCTTTTCAATCAAAAATTTAGATCGCTGATTACTCCTTCATTCGTATAACTCATACCGAATTCACAATTCCGTGCAAGTACAAAAATAAAATAATTATCATGTTTATCGTGGCACCAATTTTTGATTTAGAGAGAATGAACACCAATGTAAAGGCGTTTACGGCCTAAATAACACGCTGATGAAAACAATCGGCGATTTTAGCAGAGGGCAATTGCACGCGTTATTGGCGACTTTTTCAGTTTTCCCAATTCCATGCCAGTACAAAAATAAAATAGTTACCATTGTTACCGCGGCACAAATTTGTGATTTAGAAAGAATAAACACTAATGTAAAGGCGTTCACGACCTAAATAACACGCCGATGAAAACAATCGCTGAATCTAGCAAAAGGCAATTGCACGCGTTATTGGCGACTTTTTCAGCTTTCACAATTCCGTGCGAGTACAAAAATAAAATTGTTACCATTGTTACCTCGGCACAAATTTGTGATTTAGAGAGAATAAACACCAATGTAAAGGCGTTTACGGCCTAAATAACACGCTGATGAAACAATCGGCAATTTTAGCAGAACGCAATTGCACGCGTTATCCGCGACTTTTTCAGTTTTCAAAAAAATTTAAAAAAACGGGGGGGGGGGTCGACCCCGAAAACCCCTCTCTGACTGCGCCACTGAACACGAGATTGACTTAACATGAGTGGAACGTATTGGTTCTACTAATGTCTATTCAGTAATATCACTTCACACTATTAGCAAACATATTAAAAAGAATATTAAATATTGGCAAAATATCGCAAATAAATTTTTTCAAAAAGAATACTCGAAAGCAATATTTGCAAATGTGATTATGGCGAAACCACCATTTTTTGCATTTTACTCTTGTCTAGGTTTCACTTTGGAAAACGAACATTTCATTTTCACGTTTTCGTTTTTTTATCGGCGTTCAAACACACATTAAATTAACCAAACTTGATGGTTTTGGCATTTTTTCATGCGAATTGAAAGTCAAAGTCAGAACATGACATCAAGTGTGCGTTGATTCCCGTATTTATCACACAGTTGTTTTATTTATGCGCCCCCAAGTATTCATTCAACGTGTTACTCCGGAACATTTTAAAAATTTCATGTCATGATCCAACAAGCATGTAATTTTAACGATTTGCTTATTTTCACTATTGTATTGTCTTGTTTAATGATTTTTGTTATATTACTTCAATAATTGACTTTATGCTGGGTTATTCCACTTACGTGTTTCATGATGAACAGGAAGTGAAATTCGCGATTACATATTGGCAGATTATTGCACGGAATAAAGTTTTCTAGAATTCCCGGTATTTAGAAATTATCGATCTGAGGATAATGCAGTATGCACGGCCGCCTGGTAGATCTAAATATTGTCCTCCGAAAAAATTATAAAACCTAATTATATTGTTTTAAAATGATTATGATCCATAATAACTAGTTTTGATACTGATTGAATACTCGAAACACTGGTGCAATATGATCGTGTTTTGCTTTTATTTGGTGTTAGTTCATGTCAATTTTTAACTTACCTTGAACCGTCTGTACAGCTACTACAACAATAAAAACAAACAAGAAGATACTCCTCGCAATAGATGTCATAATTATTAGTTTATGGCTATAACTGCAAACAAAATGTGATGAATTCAATATATCTTCTTAAATAAATATTCTGTAATTGACACTCAATTTAACGATTAATGACATATGGTAAGAAAAGTTAAATTAAAAACGCACATCATTTTCGCATTCTGTAAATCATGCTTTGACTTCCCACCATATCTTTGCCCTCTAAATTGGAATCGACAACTCAACTTAATCCTTCCAAATGCACTCGGTCGGCATCGTGGAACAAAACTCGTCATTTTTCATGTGATAATATATATGAACAACAAATACCTATTGCTACATACCTACCATACGCTAATGTCGCTTTAAGAATATGTAACTAAACACTTGACAAAGTTGTCGTGTGGCTTTCGCGCAACCGCGAATTTACAACTACCGTGACTATGTCACTATGCTTCATTTGCGAAAGTTTCAATTCTAAGAATAGAGATAAAACTAAGTTGTTGATTAATATATATATTCAAACAAAAAAAACAGTCTGTTTCGATGTTTCTATCTCTTTTAAAAATATTAAATATTCATTTTTTTTACTTCATCAGGGTTCGAGTTTCCTAAGCATATCTCCAGCTAATCTGTCACGGACAAGTCATTATAATTATCAGGTCATTGTTTCATTTCCCTGACTGGACACGTGGTCAACTTGTCCCGTTTCAAATGGTTTACGTCTCTCGCCAAATTAAATCCAAATGAAAAAATTCTGACCGCAGCTTCTTTTATGGCAACATCCAATTAAGCTGTTGATATAGACGAGGCCGTTAACAAGACAATATATCATTTTTCTACTCTGCACAAGGTATGCACTGTTTGTTTGAACTATATAAATATGAAATATAAATATGAAAAAAGTCATAAATATATCATTGTCGTTCATGATCGCCATTGAAAATTACTATTTATTTTTTTTTTATATTTATATTAAATATTTAATCGTTTTCACTTATTTTTATTTATACTTTTCAAACATAAATGACTCATTTAAAAATTAGGGCGGGTTCACAGATTTCGTATCTGTTACTCTATGCCTATGGTTTACACCTACATGATCCCCGTGCCTGTCTTTGGTAGGCCGGTCGCGCCATTACGGCAACGGCAATATGCCCTTTCGACAATGTTAATTTTATGTATTGGAACCGAATGAGAAATCGTTTCATGCCTCTCATCAGATTTTATTTATTAACACCTTATGGTATTTGTGATTTCGTTGTCTATAGCATTTCATTTTTAATTTGACCTTTAGAGAATGTATTTTAATATTCAGTACTAGTGACCACGCGACATTTGTCAATATATTTAAAAATTTCCTGCGAATTACCCGTTTAGAAACTTTCTCCACAGGCGTATATAGGATTTTAACATTAACGATTACAATGATTAGGTTTATATGTGAATAACACAAAATAAACTGTTCACTATCATACTACTATTCTCAGTTAAAGCGGAAACAACTATGTAAATGCCACACATTTGCAATCTGACATTGACTAGTTTTAATTAATATGCTCCAATCATTTTCGAAAGAGTTCAAGTTTCCTCAGTAATTTTTAGCTCAACCAATATTGTATAAAGTTTCGTTTGCTCGATCTTGCTGCATACTAGGGATTGACAAAAGAATGCCCCATTTATAAAGTTTTGAAATAATAAATATAGATAATAAAAAATAATTATACAGTTTTATGCGTCCTTTCTTTCTTTCTAGTTTTCTAAACATTTTGAAATCTGTATGTAATCATATTGGCCATCATGATAATCCCGGATATAGAGTATATATTAATTGTCTATTAGTTCTTTTTGTCCGGGGGTTTTTAACTTCTTATAATCATGTCATATTTTGTGCTTTCGAAGAAATGAAATTTAATAATATATAAGAAATCGTTGTTCGTTTCATGGAAAAATACTTCGACCAGAAACAGAATAAAAGACGCAAAAACTGCAATATTACGCGCGTCTGATGAAACGAAATTTCAAAAACAGGTTTAGAATACTTACATGGTGACATAAATATAGTTGGCGTGGACGAATTTGAATCGGATTCACGCAATGATAACACTACGTCATTGCGGCACGGGAACGTGATATACGATTTTGTTAATTAATAAGTTATTGTTTTATCACAAATACTTGACATCGCACCATACATGTTTGTATTGGTTACATGAAATGTCATTGGAACAATCAGCCGATGTGACGTATTCCAAATAGGCGTTATTTTTTGTAACGGGTATTGTATGAATACGAGTTGAAACTTTCTCCAACACAAATATTTAATATGTAGTTGTCTGTAAAAAATTACTGTATATAAATTGGATGATCATGAGTATATCGCATCGCAGACTGAAAAATTCATAAATGTTTACTATTAAAAGAAGCGCCGTATACAAAGATGTAATATATCTTATGTTGCTGCCACTTATTAGCAAACTCGACTGAGATATTCTGAAATGGATTACATCATAAGTTCTGGATTAAAAAGACACTGGTCTATTGTTTGAATATTAGCGGTAGAATTCTGTTTCACGATGCTTAGATAGCGAGGCCAAATTTCCTCGCGCATAACATAAACCAGTTTTATATGGGCATGTGTAAAGTCATGAAAGATAGAACCTATTTAAAAAATATTTTTTGTTAAGGTTGAGTTTAACTAATAAAGCGAAATTGTACTTCTTCAAAATTTGTGTATCATCATAATAATTTTACTTCATGCAATGTATACGAGTATATATATACCATGTCAACGCATGGTATTGGAATTATATCAACTAGTCATATTGGTCATACAAATCGCCTTTGTGTGTGAAAGAAAGTCTTCGAAGCGAATTACCGACCTGACTTGGTAAATTGATAAAATTAATAATAAGATATTACAGAATAAATTGAAATTATTTATCCTACCCATGACCTTTCCATATTTGAATGTTCAGAATATTTTGTCTACGATTGATGTCTTTGAAATATAAATAATTACTGACTTCAAGTAAAAATAGAATTTTCAGTTTAAATTTGTCGCACGTCCGGATTAAAAAGTAAATAATAAGTTAAACATTTTACATTTTAATTCATATCATCGAGAACGGGAATAACTTGTTTCGTCGGACACAATTGATCAACGGTCAGTATTAAAATTGTACGTCTCGTCTGAATTATTAAACACGTTAACGATACGTACAGTCCAGACAAAGAATGTGATTGATAGAGGTGGATGAAGTATAGTCTGGTATGGAAATCATTGAAACTTTGTTTTATTCAAATATAGTCCTGTTGTTTTCTTTGTAATGAGAAAATAATTTTATTTTAAGTATTTATAAGACCAATCGGAATTTCCAATGTGTTGCACGGTGTAGTTACCGACTGTAGACTGTATTTTGTTTAACAGCCAAATGCGTAGCGGGGGTCATTCAAAAATAATTCCATGCATCTCTGTATATACGCGTATTGGCGTATATACTTGTTTACTTTGATGTTGTTTGAGACCTACACAACAAAATGTATTATTTTAAATAATCAAACAAATTTCTATCAAAGTTAAGAAAAAAATTTATATGTCATTCGAATATTTCGATGTTGAAATTTTCGATGTTACTAGTCGGATTTTAAAATACCTATTGCTATTTACTTTTTTGCCATTTGTATTTATTAAATTACTCGTTAATTCCAATATTGAATATTGACATATATTTGGCTATAAATCTACTGCTATAATGTTCAACAAATTAGACTAATGTATTGATAAGTATTAATTGAAAATGCACTTTGTACAGTTTTATTATTCGATCTTTTTTGCTCAAACAGCACCTTATCCATCAATGCCAACACAGATCATTGCGTTAATTACATGTCTGGACTCTAAGGTCGATTGTCAGCTTCCAGCACGCTTACAAAAGTAGAAATCTGCACGTTATGATTTATAATAGTAAAGCTATAGTGAACGTGTCATCATTAAATATCAGTATAATTAAAAATATATAACCGAAACTTATTATGTTGGATTCAAATTTCAGTAAATTGAATTCTAGCTTTCTATAGCTTATTATGTCGACTCAGTACGGTTGATTGTTTACATTATGGGTGTTAAAGGAAATCGGTATTAATATTGAACCTCTCTTTCCTACCGATCAATCTTTACCACCTGCTGGTAATAAAGCAAAATAGCGCCATTTCAGTTCTAACGAGCCAGAGAGTAAATTTTTGTTAGACTTCCACAATGATGCTTTTTTCATACGAAGAGTTCTCATTCAAATCATTAATTCAAAATAAATAACTATCGCTCTTCGATTTTTTAAAAGGTCTAAAAGTGAATTTCCTTTCGGAATTGATTTCTTTTCGAACGATATTGAACTTTACTGTTACGTTACCTAAACGTGAGCTCGTTTTTTGACCCAAGAGTTGGTGTTTGAAAAGTTAATATTTAGCAAAAATACATATAAATCAATTTCCGTAATTATTATTTTTTTTTAAAGTTATTTCGGTGAGTAGTGTTGTAAATTTATATATTTAGTATATATTACAAATTGACATGACGATTTTTTTTTCACAGTCACAGAGGGAACATGACTTTGGTATTATTAACCAATAGACTGTTTCATTTAAATACCAAATTCTTGTTTTTAGGACGCAACACAGACAAGTGCCAGACTAGAATATTGGACTTTTAGTCTGACGAAAATGCGCCAAAACTGAAAAAAAAAAAACATTTTATATAAGCTTCCAGAAACTTTAACAACTTTTTATGATCTTTTTTTAGAAAATCGAAAAACAATTTGATCTTTCTGAACCCAGATAAATCTGAATTTCCTCTCCGCACAAAAACTAATCAAATATGGGTATATAAAAACTAAATTACACTATTTGTATTTTTGTATAATCGCTATACATTTCCACCTTAGACTGTCTTCCACACCTTTCGCGGGGAATATTGTCATAGAACGATGTTGCAAATTTTAGTTTTATTGTTTCGATGAAACATGATATAAAATAATTTCTTACACCTAAAGAGATAGCAACAAT